TCACATTATTGGTATAATTTTTGTAATAATTATCATTTGTTGGGCATAGAGAGTTTTTGATAAAGGTAGTACCTTTGAAGTCTCACACAACCACCACAAATATATTTAATTGAAAACTCGTTCCTTTGGAAGGTAATTCTTTCAATGTAGCGGGGGATCCTTTAGAATGTTCCTTTCTCTCCGATATGATGTATCACAGGGGTTGTCCTTACATCTCCGGGTAACAATGCTAATATCTACCAAATGCTGAATATCCCATAGGTAAATCAACAGTAGCTGTGCAGCGTTTATTATTTCCGACTGCTCCTCTTACATACATTAGATAATTCCATTTCATTTTGCAATGCTTTTGCTTATAATTCATCAGATAAAGCCATTGCTTCTGGTAGTATTTAATTAAACTTCTGTCCGATAGCTTACGTTTATTGCCTCTGCATCTCCCGGAAACAATCCCCAAAATACACAAACAGTCCATATCCTTTTCTACTGAAAGACAATTTTAGAAAAACATACTCCCAATGCGTTTATTTCACGTTCCCTAGCTTCTTTTTCAAGTATTAAGAATATAATGGTGATGGTAATATTAGCCTTATAAGGAAACAGTTGACATTCATTGAGTGAGTAGCCAATATTACTGTCGGCTAAAATTTATAAAATCTTCCTCTTAAAAGGATTTTTCAGGAAAATAGCGTTCTCAAGTCTCGTAACTATAATCGCTCTTTCCTGTTGTTTTTTCCCAAAGCTTTTGTTTGAAGTAGTGTGGAATGTCAACATCTTGATTATGTCATTATTTTCTCTCCGGGGTTCATGTGATATCAATTTTAGTTCTTGCTGCTGTTGAAAGTCTTCAGCTGATGTGATTTCTGTTGTTTGGTACCGTACTTTTTTGGGATTCTGTAGCGTTAGTCCACAAGGTTCGAAGAAGGATGATGTTCGCCAAGTCCCACAGGTTTTTAACCATTGCTCCGAACTACATTAATGGCCACAAATCTCGGTTTCTACTCAGCAGCAGTTGTTATTTGGTGTAAGTTTATATTGTCACAATTATTATTCCTCTCCGGAGAAAAAGTAAATTCTCAGAAACATTTTTCCCCAAACATTAATCGTCATAAGCGAGTGCTTTTACAAACACCCACACCCACACCCACACACACCCACACACACGCGCGCGCGCACACACACATACGTATATATATATATATATATATAAATTTCTGAGTATTAATGTTTTTATCGATAATCAAATTTGAATGGAATATAATTTACCAAGAAATCATAATTTTTAAATTTATACGGAAAAATAAGTGAGATTAAAACAAATACTTGTCTTATTATTATTATCATTATTATTACTACTACTTTATGTCATAACTATTTTTAATGGTCGAGGGCTGAGATCAGAGTATGAAAGACCTAAACTCGTTTGTGTATCGCCGTGGATAATTGTTGCTTACAAGGTACTCATCATATTGCAAGTGACGATGACGCTGTGTTGACGCAAGTATCCGTCTCCTCTCAGCATATTTTGATGAATATTCGAGCGATGTCTCCCTTTGAAGGTCAATTGTTCACTAGTCTTCGTAGAACCGACAAGTAGGCTGTATATAATTGATGTCAATTGATGAAGGACAAAGGCTTTTGTCTTAAGGGTGGGAATCCTTACGCCCACTGAAAAGATGTGGTTTCTTATCTGTTGGATCGAAGCATATTTTGACATTGTCGATATTTTTAACATATAATGACTTGTGTAGGAGAAAATTACGTTTTCTTTTCTGAAGAGACCACGTGTCGTACGTTAATTTCTTGTGTAATATAACTACACGCTTAATATGACCTGTTTATAAATGTTACGCCTTAACGACAAAATATAACAACTTTATTTGGAGGAAAATTTGCATTTTGTTCGGTCGGAGTTGTGCAATTTCACTTACCTTCCAATGTTTCGCTCTACGTTATTTGACCATCAGAAAACAAAACACTTTCATTCCGTTTAAGTCGTGAAATCATATGTAAATACTATTCGATATAGATTTCACTCTTTAATTTAAATGGAGGCCACACATCAAACTGATGCAAATGCATTTGAATGCTTGATTTCAATTTTGTGAGTATGTCGGATATATCCCGTTTTGGAAGGGCTTCTTTATTCTCAAGTAAAATTTTGAGTTAATCAATTTGTGATACAATCTCATCACAGTACTTTCTCCAGAAATTCTATAATTCTATATAGAGCTACATAAATATCAATTGTTCTTATTTATTTATGTGTTCTAAAATTCAGTTTATTTTCTGTTAACCTGAAGATTTACCAGTCAGAACTGTTATTGTTTCAGATAGTGACATTCAGATAACAAATCGTCCAATGTACCAGATTTATGATAATTGTTAATTACATAATGACTCATGGTATCGTTATTACCGATTTAATTATTACATATATTTAATATTTTATTATGATTGTTCCATGTTAATAGTCATTTTTCACTGATCCAATTTTTCCTCTTGTAACAGATTCCTTGCAATTTACAAGGGGAAACGAGAGATTCTATATACGAAAAATCAAATTAATCTATTCCGACAATTTTTTTGATTGTTTAATAGTAGATGATTACACTGTATATTCAATTAATTTTCTTTCTGAAATCATTCAGTTCAGTTCAACATCGAAAACGTGATACTGACTTTTAATTTAAAATTGAATAAAATTCAAATGTTTTCCATCACATAACTGTTATTTAATATTTCCCATTTCCTAGATGTGAAAATATTTTACTTTGTCTTTGAAATTCATCTGATACGATCATGACTTTTATTTCATACATTCTTTTTGGATTTGGTTTGGTTTGTTTTGTTTTACGGCATATCAACCTCAATGGATCATTTAATGCCGTCAACATTTTTTTTCTTTTCCTGGTAATATTTTTGTTTTGTCAAAAATCTATTTCTGTTAATTATTTTTTCAAAAACGTATAGCTGGTAATATTATTCTTTCAAAACGTATAGCTGGTCATATTATTTTTTTCAAAAACGTATAGCTGTCAACATTATTTTTTCAAAAACGTATTATCAGAGGCCTTATTGTTGGACATAGTTTATCGTTTTACCCAGGACGCGGATGTAGTTTATCGTCATACCCAGGACGCGGATGTAGTCTGGGTGTTAACTATTTGCCCATAGCTGGTACCCTAACAGGTACTACCACCCCAGGTCAGGGTGGACCTGGGAACACCAGCAATTAAGAGGTTGTTCCACGCTCCTCAAAATCTCCTGATCAGAGGCCTTGCTGTTGGACGTAGTTTATCGTTTTACCCAGGACGCGTATGTAGTTTATCCTGATACACAGGACGAGATATGGGTTTGGGGGGGTTAACTATTTGCCAATAGCTGGGACCCTAACAGGTTCTACCACCCCGAATCAGGGTTAACCTGGGAACACCAGCAATTAGAATGTGGTTCCACACTATTCAAAACCTCCTGATCAGAGGCCTTGCTGTTGTACTTAGTTTATCGTCTTACCCAGGAGGCGGATGCAGTTTATCGTCATACTCAGGACGGTAAACAAATGGAGAATTCTTTGTTAACATTTGTTCTTTGTTAATTAGTCTGAGTTGAAGTTTTCATAACTAATTTTCCACATGCTTTGCTATTTCGAAAATAGGATATAACTGAGGTTTCCTTTTACTGACTGAGCAATACCCTAAAATTAGATAACAACATTGCTTCATGTTCCAGTTTTCCCTTGTCTGAAGATTACTACGTATATTATCGTTAAACTTTGTCATATGATACGAATAGCAAGATTAAAAGTTCGTAAGGGTTCAGTTTAAAATTTGATATTTAGAATGAAAATAAGAATAGGATGCTTAAATTCATTTTTATATAGTTATCGTGACATTCAAGTAAGTTCCTATCAGAGTCGATGACGTCGTTATATTCGCTAGAGAGAGAGAGAGAGAGAGAGAGAGAGAGAGCGATCATCGTCGTCATCAGCTCACTTCCGTCATCCTCTCTCCTTAATCACTTTCTCTCCGCTAGTGGCGGTGGTAGAGATAGATGTCAAGGTCCAGCCTCCCTTGAAGAGCAGTCAAAGAGAGTTTGACGAGGCCATTAGCGTGAATCTGATTTTAGTGGAAAACTGTTTTTTCGCGCGACGGTCATTAAAATCGTGTAGATCTTTGCTTATTCTGCCGTTGGGGTCTCCGGGGTTGGTCGCATTTAGTCTGGTCTCCTCCTCGACATTACCGCCATGGTTGGTCCTATAGAAGCTTCGTTCTTAAGATCACTGAGACAGGGAAGCCCTCTACCCTGACAAGGAACGACAATATATATTTTCGACAGGATGTTGGAGTGAACAGTTCATTATCAAATGTATAATTATGATTTATTACTCTCACGACAATAATAGAGACAAATCAATAAATAAGAAAAGAGCAAAAGTATAAAATTATCATTAAATAAATGAGAACATTTTTATTATTGTTGTTGCTGAAAAAAATTGAAAGATAAATAATAAAAAAAAATTCACAACTGAACCAGTAGTTAAAAGTAAATTAAACAAAAGAAAATAATGTTATGACTTAAAACGCTTTTACTAAAAATTCAAAACTACATCCTTGTCAACGACGCTATGTTACTGTAATCAATATATAGGAAGTAATAAAAGAATAAAATTATCGGCAAAATGTTATTAAAAATATTTGAATAATAAATAAAAGGAAGGGAAATCGTGACCAATTAACACACTTTCATAGCTCGACCGATGTCTTTTTGATATTTTATTCAAAGAAAGTGGTTTATAATCACTATTTATGAACATTTCATTTTATTTTTATTATATAGATTGTTTTTATTATTTTTTTCACCTTCATTTTGTTACTTCTACTGCTAGTTCAGCAACGCAACCGAGTCACATGGTACCTAGTAGCAACGTATATACGGTCGTGTTTATCAAGCTGCGTACGTGCAGATTTCTATATACCTGTTGAACACATAGTCATAGAATGGTATTTTTTGCTTTGTTCATTACCTTTATTATTTTGTTGGCTTGGCCTTTCTTCCACTGGATACAACAAAAAAAAATTATTGTCTCTAAATACGATGACAATAAAAAGCTATTGCACCTGAACGACTACCCGATTATCGGCGCATCTTTAAGATTTATAGGCGACGGGGAAGGTAGGTTTATTTCTCTATTCATTCTCTTTCAACTTGGTTCTCACAATTTTAACTTATAATAATCAAGTAAGTCGACAGATTACAGATAATCAAACAACAATTTGGCTTCGGTTTAAAAACAAAGGCCCAAAATATTTACATTGCTAATGATAATGTTTTTCGTTTGGTAGCACTTTTTCAGAAAAATAATAAAATCGAATGACTCTGGAAATACTTAATGTGAATAATTGTTTTCTAATTAACTTTCACAATTTGCTGATTGATTTGAAACATATTTTGTATTAGATTATAAATCTACTTATATTTTAATAACCTATGAAAACGAATATTTACTTAAAAAGATCTATCTGATAACATTCAATTTCTAGATTTAAAGGCAAGATATTTATCACAAGAAATACACAATTTTGAATTAAAATTTACTTAGAAAGATACACAATAATTATTCTTTTCACCTTATTGTAACAAATAAAAAACATTTACATTTGAATACGACAAATCTGTATCACGGGGATATATTAATAGAGCATCATTAATATATCGGAAAGTATGTTGATTGTTTAGGAAAAATATTTTGGAAATGACCAAATTCAAGAAATTCTATGAAAATACATGTCATCATCTCATTTAGAGGCGACCCCACTGGTAATCCAATTTTTTGTTTATAAAATTATTGTTAAATGTGAAATAGTATTGTTTGGTGATGAGACTTCAGATTTTAGCTATTGGTAGGGAGAAGTTTATTTATGATTGCATTAGATGCTTTTTAAAAAGATTTAAGGATTTATTAACCGGAACGTTGGTGAAAAGAGATTTCACTGTAATCGCGAGAAAAAAACGATGTCGCCCTACTTTAGTGATGGTATGTTTACCTGAGAATGGGAAGAAATCTATCTGCTCTGGTTTACTGACATAGTGGTTTTGGTATTGGGTCGTAGTATTCCAAACATTGTTCGCAGTTTCCGACCAAACATGACTGTTGCTGGTCATTCTCCTGTGGTCGCGTGAAGTGAATTTCTATAAGAAATTAGGAATTTAGAAAGCTTTGTATGGATGGTGCCACACCCATGCTTTTTTGATTCCATGTCTGATTTCAGAGATTGTACCATTCGTTTTCCTAATCTGTTGGTTTTAGGATGGTATGGGGCACTTTTATGTGTCTAACACCGTTACAAGTGGAGAAGCTTTTAAACTCGTCAGATCTGAACGTTGGTGCGTTAATTGAAACTAATAGTTTTGGGATACCATATTTTGCGAACATCTCATTAAGATATCCACGGTTGTAGTCGCTGTAGCATTAGATGTAGGAAATATCTCTACTAATTTTGAATGGGCATCGACTGCTACAAGGAACGTTGATTCCTGGAAGACACCTATATAATCCACGTGAATTCTCTGCCAGGGTTATTATGCCATTGTCAAGGATGTAGTGGAGACTTTGGTGGGTTCGGGTGAATGATGAAGCACATGATATATGTCTTCGCAGCTGCTATGATGCCCTTGTCAAGATTAGGCCACCAGAAGATTCCTCTGGCTAGGGCTTTCATTTTGGCTACTCTTGTTCCCCACAGTTAAAAGTTATTGTGGATGGAAATTTCATATAGTTTATAATGAAAGGTATGAAATGTTTGTGACACATTGTATTATGGCCAACTGTTTTGGACGAAATAAATAACATGGGATAGAATTGAATCAGTTCTTGATGCCTTGGCAATCGTATTTGCCTTAATTGGAAATTGTTCCATTAATTCTTTGTAGAAAATTCTGTCGCCTTCTTTATCAGTCAGATCGACGCTAGAAGTATGATGAACCATCTGCGTTGCACTGGATTTACTTCTACGAAACTCAATATTGTAATCAAAGCCCGTGAGAAAAACAGTATGTCTTTGTAGTCTCGCTTTGTTGGAATGCACTTCTTTGTGCCAAAGATGAATTTGAGTGGCTTGTGGTCGGTAACAAGTGTAAATTTGTTGTTGCACAAATAGTTGAAGAACTTTTTCACTGATCATACGATTTCGAAAGCTTCTTTGTCGAGTTGGGAATAACTGGATTCCGCTTTGTTGAGGGTGCAGGATACGTACGTCATGGGTTTCTCTTCTCCATTGATGATATGTGACAAAACAGAACCGATGCCACATGAACTTGCATCGCATGTCAGGTGTATAGAACTGTACCAGGACCATGTCCCATGCAATCATCCCCCTGATTTTGTTGAATGCCGTATCACATTCTCCAGACCATATGAAGGAAATGTCCTTTTGTAGAAGATCATAGAGTGATTTTGTGACACGGACAATGTTTAAAGCCATTTAGGGTAAAAATTTACAATCCCTAGAAATACCGTAGTTATGTTTTGTCACTTGGGACTGCAGCATTAGTCACAACTTCAATTTTGTCTTTGGTTTTGTGGAAACCATTTCTGTATATTTTCATTCTATAGAAGATCACAGAGTCCTGAAAGTAGGAACATTTGCCCAAATTTGCCTTGAGACCAAATTCTTGAAGTCGGGAGATAACGTTTTTGATGTTTATAAAATATATCTTGTCAGCTTTGATAGTGATTAACATATCATCCATGATACAAATTATTCGTTCTAGATCTTGTGGAATTTCGTCCATGGTCTTTTGTTACATCGTAGATGATGTGATGCTATAAACTAAATTATATTGATTTAGTTCTTTGTGGGTGTCAGTTGCTTTGATTCTTCGTCAAGTATTAATTGTAGGTATGCCTGTCTTTAAATCTATTTTGGTGAATTCCCCACCTCTCGAGTTTTGCTAGCAGGTTTCCTATTCTCAGGAGGGTATATTGTTTAACTTCTAAATTTGGGTTGACTATTGTTTTCTAGTCACCGCAAATGCCGATACTACCATTGTGCTTTATTACGGGCACTATAGATGTGGCCCATTCACTTGATTTGATCGGTGATGGGACACTCACTTGATAAGTTTTACCACTTCTTCCTCCACCTTTGTCCTTAAGGCATATGGGACAGTTCTTGTTCTCATGTACCTGGGTACTGTGTCGGGTTTAACTCCCAACTGTCTTTTCAAGTATTTCATTGTACCTATACCTTCCCTGAAGACTTGTATGAATTCCCCTCTCAGTTTAGCAATCAGGCCATTTTCTTCGGCGTTGCTGACGTTGTCAAGGGACTTGTATATTTCAACTATATATCCCGTTTCTCTCTAAGATGGAATTATTGCCATTTTTAAGTTGATGAGACGTAATTGAATGCTTTTGTTGGTGTGTTCAACTAATATCCACACCTGAATTAAGATGTCAAGAAAGTACTTTAATCTCTAGTTCATAAATTTGCGTCCAAGATTCTTACAATGTTTCACCATTCTTAGCAGATCTTCTATTATCACAATTTGGGATATTTAATAACAAAACTGATGTAAACATAATAAAAAGAAAAATAACCTAAATGAAATCGACTAGATTTATATATCCAAAACATATATTAAAAAATGAATTTAAATTTCTCAATATCCTGTTTCCTTCGCGCACATGTGTAGCCACATCAACGTAAATATAAATTTATTCTGATGAAGTCCGAAAGGACGAAACGCGTCACACGAAAATTTTTTCCATTTTGTCATATTTCTTTCTCCTAATATATATATATATATATATATATATATATATATATATATATATATATATCCCTGTAGAATACCATACAGTTCTGCCAGGAAACCATAACGGCAAGAATGTTATAAAAGCTCACACAGACCAAACAATGAGGGAACTACGAAAAACAAAAACTGAAAAACAAAGAAAGCTAAAATGGAATATTTCCTCCAGAACAGAAGAACAAAAGAGAAATCAAACCAAACTCAGAAAAAAGTGAACGAACATAGCACAAAAGAAAATAACAAAACACCGCAACCACACCGACCACCAATGTAAACGCAAAAAAGACCAAATAAATACACCAACATAAAAACCACAAGCACCACAACCAACAATAACAACACCACCACCATCAACGATAGCTAGAACCTCAAAACAACCACACACACAAAACAAACCATTAACTTAGGCGGACATCCTTAACAACCAGGACACTTGACATGATGCAAGCTTTCGAGATTTTACGAAAGAACTTCGCCATGCTTGCAAATACAAACATGACCCACACGGACGAGTTATAAATCTAAGTATATTTTCACTGAACACATTCAGGTTATAAAATGAAGGACTAAGCTTTTGCCCTTCTCCCCCAAGGAAAAAGACACCTTGGCAAAGGACCTGAAGTCCTTCTTCAGAAGAATACGGCTAAAAGCCTACTACGGGGACAATGATCACACGTCTTTCATACTTGATACATTAAAAGAGAAGGACTCTACAGTCACCACGCAAAACACAGACATTACTATACAGACATTTGAAATGGCAGTATCAAATGACATAAAGAAAACAATAGCACGTAAGCTGACACGATAACACATAGAGATGACCTCATCATAACACAGGCTGACAAAGGGGGTGCTACAGTGATCTGAGAAATCAAAGAATACATTAAAGAGGCCAACAAACAGCTAACCGACAAAGAAACCTATAAAATCTTACCTACGGACCCTCTTCCAGAATACCAAAAATAATTAATTAGCTCACTAAATATAATGCTTCGCAACAATCTAATCGACAAGGAAACATGCACAACACTTACATCCATAAACATTACACCTACTCGCTTCTATCTCCTTCCTAAAATACACAAAGCAACAACCCAGGAAGGCCGGTCATTTCATCATTCAACAGCCACACGACCAAAATTTCCAAATACGTAGACCATTACATACAACCCCTAGCTAAGGAAGTAAAATCCTACATCAGAGACACAACAGATCTACTGAACAAAATTAATCACATACAGATAGTGTCAGAGAATGCTATTCTAGTGACTATCGGCGTAAGATCACTCTATTCAAACATTAAAAACATCGAAGGGCTAATCGCCCTTCAGGAAGTACTTACTAAAAGAAGTAAATAAGACCCCGGCAGAAATTATCATAAAGCTCATGGAGCATATTCTTACATTGAATATTTTCAACATCACTGGAGCACACTACCGGCAAGTAAGAGGCTGTGCCATCGGCACCATTGCAGCTCCATCATATGCTACAATGGAAACATGGGAAAATTTGAGGAGACCCATATCTATCCCATCATCGGTAGCGACTGCGTATTCTATTCAAGATATATCGATGATATATTCTTTGTACACGCAGACAGTGACGACAAACTTACCCAATTCCTCATGACCCTAAACACAGTACACGACTCAGTTAAGTTTGATTATGAAAAGTCCACAAGATCGTTAACATTTTAGACATCTGCATTTACATAGATGAAAACAGGAAACTACAAACGACACTACACACTAAAATCACCGACACCCACAACTATCTACACTTTAAGTCTTCACACCCTAAACACCTCAAAGAGAACCTTCCCTATTCACAAGCACTTAGATTCAGAAGGATATATTCCAACAATGAAGAACTAAATAAACACATTCAAAATCTGCACCATCAATACACAACACGTGGCTATAAACAACACCTAATCAGGGAACAAATAAATAAAGCAATTTCCACACACAGAGAAGACACCTTAATGTACAAGATTAAAAATAAACCCAACTGCATCCCTCTAGTAACCACTTTCAACCTCACTCTGCCTCACCTATCCCAGATAATCAGAAGTCGCTGGGAAATATTACATCTCAAACCAGACCTAAAAAAATTGTTTGAAGAATATCGTAGACCTAAGAACCTAACGGAAATCATAGGTAGTAACCACATTTCAGGGGATAATGTAATACGTAATAAAACAAAAACAATAGGAATTTCCCAACCATGTAACAACAAAAGGAGTTTATGCTGCAACCATATTAGACAGACGAATTCATTTGCGAGCTCAGTCACTAAATCTACTTTCAAAATCTACCACGATTCTAAATGTAGAAGTCATAACATAATTTACCTCCGAGAATGCACACTATGCCAGAAACAATATGTAGGAAAATCTGAATGACCCTTTCACTACAGAATTAATAATTATTGCAATCGAATTAAGTCGACTCCCCATGAAAAATTATTACCTGTTGAACATTTAGGCCTACAAAAACACGATTTTAAAACCCATACCAAATTCACTATAATTGAGAGAATAGAAAAGTTCAGAGCAGATAACATTAGAAAGATTTTAAAGTACCATGAAAATAAGTGGATCTGGTGTTTAAAATCGCAATATCCAGACGGGCTTAATCACACATTTAACAATATAGATAGTATTAATATATAACCCCACAAGTCAGGACCTACCCACATTTCTCACCCACACAATACAGACATGCTTGCGGAGGTGTTGAGGCCTCACACTTATACACACACCCACACAAATATACACACTTACACATATCATACTCCCTCCCTCCCTAGTGAGCCAAATGATAACACACACCCATCGTAATATACACACATCATACTCACTCACTCCCTAAGAACCAGATAACACACACACTTAACACATCTCCTTTCCAGGAACCAATAAAACTGTCAAAATGACCAAGGGAATTCAGAGCAGCATGAATTCATCCAGCTCTTATCTCAAATAACAAATTAAAAGAGACTGTTTGACCAACACAAGGACTGACCAAAATTCATGTTAAAAAAATAAAAAAAACAAATGAAAACTACAGAGAAAAGTTCATTTTCTCCATCAAGATATTCATTTCTGTAGTTCACTGCTATTAACAGGTAGAAAATCTTTTTCTCCTGATGATGGACATGATGGCCGAAACTAGTCGAGGAGTCTAACTGAAATAATAAAAACAAAAGAATATTAATATACAACTCAATGTGTCTGAAGATTTTAATTTTTTAATATTTTTATTGTTCAAAACACACACACACACACACACACACACACACACACACACACACACACATATATATATATATATATATATATATATATATATATGGGATGAGACATTGAATCTTGACAGGAAAATCTAATTAAATTTGTGGGCATTGTTCTTTTTTTTCAGATAGATTAAATTTTCAATATATAGTTAAGCATTTATCAGAAAATATATAAAAGAAATGTTTGCCTTCTTGAAGCTACATTGAAATTCCATGTGTCCTGTTTATTATATTCATTTATTTCATTCTATTTTATTTTTCTTAGGGTGACGGGTAAAGTTGTATTTGATGCGCTTTTCTTTGTGCTTTTCAGTACAATCAAAATTTTGTTATAAACAAAAAATCGTTCTAGAAATCTTTGAAAAACTTAAAGAATTTTCGGGTCGATAAAATTATGTTGATAAATTAAAAAAAATAATGTGACTTTTTATTTTGTTTTATTAATTTTCAAATTTTCATCTCTCAGGAATGTACACAGAAATGTTGAAACTAGTAGAGAGGTACCGAAAACACGGAATGTTTGTAGTGCAGATGGGAATGAACCCGTTCTTAGTCATTTTTCAGGCTGAATATATGCAAGTAAGTAATTCATATTCACACACACACACACACACACATATATATATGTATGTATGTATGTATGTATGTGTGTGTCTGTGTCTGTGTGTGAGTGCGTGTATGTATATACAGTCCAATAAATAAATAGGACACCTTTCACGCTTTTTAATTTAAATATTTTTTTCAAATGAAATCATTTATTTTATTTGAATTTTTACTATATATGCTTATTGAAACCCCAAACATGAATGAAATCTGTTAATCAAGATAGAAAAATTTATTCACCAAAGAGGGAAACAAATTTGTTACATTTTTACTAAATTATGACTATTTTCGGTAAATTCTCTGTAAGGTTGAAGTCTGGAGAGTTTGCAAACCCATCCAAAGTATGATTTTTGAAATCAGTTTGAATTTGGATTTGATTGTTTCCTATAAATTCTCTGTAAAGTTGAAATCTTCAGAAATCTGAGATCTGAATACAATTGATTGATGTCTGGAGACTTGCAAAATCAAACAAAATCAGAAAATATTTTTGATCGATTTTGCACAATGAGCAGGTCAGACCAAATTGACACTTTAAGCTATCAGATGAAACATTTCTAGATTTTCTAATAATAAATGGAATTGACACTTTCATTGGCGACAATCTGTGATCCAACATTTTTCTTTTGATGAAACAACCGTACACTAGTATACTATAAATTCAGAACTGTGAAAATCAAAAATCAAATTCTGCAGTGGTTCATTATTACTGCTATAATTGAAATAACGGAAACGTATCAAATTTTTTTTGAAAGTAAAGGACTGGAGTGTTTGACATTTGAATGCATTGACAAGCGAGGGCATACAAGTACTCTTCTGGGTAAAATGCATTTTTCGTTATATTTTAATCTATTGATTAAAATACCTACGTATATTAAAATAAGTACGTACTAATTTTTATTAAAATAAGTACGTACTAATGTTTATTAAAATAAGTACGTACTAATTTTTACAAAATCTAATTAATTAATCCTTCTCAAATTTACTATTTTTCTACTAAACAAATTTCTGCAACAGATATTGGATTTTTAAAAGATTGTTTTAATTTCTCTTTTCTCGGCATCCATTAAATTAGGTAATCGAACTTGGTGGAAGTGAATTTTATTTTATTGTTTTAAAGGATTATTTTTCTTTCTTTACGGATTAACTTTAGATTATTATTCTTATATATAAATACAAATAAAATTTAACTTCATGGAATGATATTTAAATTATGTAAAGGGCGTTTTTTAAAGTTTTTTTTTCAGTAAGTTCGTGCAGGAGCGACGAAAAATAATTGAATTTCGAATAATATTCTAACAACAAAAACAACAACTAATACTAAAGGCAGATCACGATTTTATTGCAGAAAATTCTCGGCAGTAGCAAACATTTGGATAAAAATAAGACTTATGAATTTGTACATCCTTGGCTGAGACTTGGGCTTATTACAAGGTAATCAATACAAATATCATATTTATATAAAACTCTAAAAGAAATAGTTTCATTGTAGTTTAACTAAATCAATTTGACATATGTGATGAAATTATCTTACAGAATCAAGACAAGATAATGCAATGATTTTCTCAAGATCTATCTATCTATCTATCTATCTATCTATCTATCTATCTATCTATCTATCTATCTATCTATACACACTGTGTCCGTTCAGTCACTATATCCACTTTCCGACTTGAACATCCAGTACATGTCAGCTTTCCAAATAATGAAATAATCAACGAAAAAATAAAGAAAACGTTGGTCAAACTATAATAAAAAAAGTTTATTAATGACAGGTTTACAGAAACAATTGAGCCACCGATATTTAGGGGTTTATAGACAGCATAATCTCGGTGGTCTTGTAGCAGTGGGTAGAGAAAAAATCATCTTTTAAAGGAAAAAGGCAGATCGTTCACATCACTTCCGGTCTTTGTGAGGTCGTTAAACTCTTTGCCCAACAAACTACCCACTCGAAATTTACAGCATGTAATTATGGTGTTTTCGCGGTTTGATGTCTCTGGGAATATCTATGTCGGTCATTTAAAATCAATCGATCAGAAAAAAAGATTGTTCTCAACTGACATGTCATATTCTTTTTATTTTTGTTAATCATTTCACACTCAAACAATACAATAAAACCACTAAGACTCAAGATGTTCTTCAAGCGGAAGAATATGTATGAGAACAGTAATAGAACAATTAAGAAGACAGAAGATAAGATTGCATTTAAATTTTTGAAGATCAAAGTTGACTAGAAAGCAAGAATCCCATAGAGATTTCCATGAACGAGAAGTGCGAGAGAAGAAACTGATAGCATAGAACATACGGTTACATCAAACCATTTCAACTGTAAAATGATGAAATCTTTCCGACAATCTTGTACTGCGCTTAAATTCGTAAAGTCTTGGTACCAAAGAGGAAAGCTCATCAAAACATTTATTTATGTCCATTTAAGATTTATTTTGAATAACATGGATATTGTTGATATGTAATTTTCGAGGTAAGTGTATTTATATATTCTCGATGTGTAGATGCATGGGTAAAGAGAGTTAGAGAAAGAGAGAGAGAGAACGAAAAAGACAGAGAGAGAAAAATTATTTCGTGCTTTTCTTATTTAAAAATTAGTTGTCTATTTGAAAAGATTTAAATAAATACTTTTAGTATTGTGTTTGTAATTTTCTTGATTTTAAATATGTTTTATTTTATCTTTTTTAGTACTGGGGAAAAATGGGCAAAACGGAGAAAGATGTTGACACCTTCCTTTCATTATAACATTCTGAATGATTTTATCGTGATATTTAATGAGCAAGCATTAATTATGTGTGAGAAATTAGAAAAACATATTGGACAAGGAGAGTTTAATATCTCTCCGTATATCACGCTTTGTGCTTTGGATATCATTTGCGGTAAGATATTCATTTTGATTATTAAATCTGTGGTAAGAACGCAGTTTTTGTAAATGGAGAGATCTTTTCATTTCAGGTATAGGGAATTTTACTCTAAGTGTGACAAGCTGTTCACTGGCGTTTGATATTGTCAGTGAATCTCTACTTGCAGAACTTGTGATGGTATCTCTACTTGTAAAAATGCCTCATGATACCCAAGCATAAACAAAACCTTTTCCATGTGTTTGCTTTACGCAATTTACCTCTTCTGTTAGAAAATGAAAATCTTTCACACACACACACACACACACACACACACACACACACACACATATATATATATATATATATATATATTAAAAAGAAGAGGGGTGCCGCAAACGTTTTTGGTTGTAATGTGGATTGTTTTATGACCCTTCGCGCAGAACTCTTCATTGACAATTCTAGAAAGAAAATTCGGATTGCCAACACACAAACAGAATGTCTCATATCGAGAATATTCCACATTGAACATGAAGAAAAATTAATTATTTTTAATAATATGTAAAAATCTCCACTTTCACCTGAAGACGGTTGCGAGACCAGATCAGAAACACGTGTCGTGAAATTATGTAAAACAAAGTATAATATTTTTTCTCAATAAATCCACATTACAACCAAAAACGTTTGCGGCACCCCTCTTCTTTTTAATATACATACTTTTCTCTCGTTGGAACCACTACAACATATTTCTTTTATATATATATATATATATATATGAAGAAATATAGTCTTAAGATGTGCTATATTTATGGAATAAAGTGCTCAATATCAAAGATAGAGCGTGTGTAAATATAAAAGTGAACATAGAAGTCAACACTTAGAGGCGACAGTCTGTTACATGCTAGATGCAATCGTCAGGCCACGAGTGCTGCTATTTTTCTCGGCTATACGGGTCAGTGGTGCATTGTGGGTAGTCTGTTTTGGCGGTTATTTTATCAAAAGTCGTTTATTTGTTTATTTATTTATTTGGGTTAAGTTATTTTGCTTGTCTTTATTTATTTTTATTTTTTATTTTTTTATTTTTATTTCTTATCTTATATATTTATTTATTCATTTTTTATTATTTTAATCGGTGTTTTTATTAACGTAGTAAAAATTTGTTTATATCGCTTATTTAATAGTTTTGTTTTGGCTTGGGGAGTAACGTAGTAAAATTTTGTTTTCATGTCTGCATTTTGAGATAAGCTCGGATCTTTTATTTAATAATTTAATTTGGTTCTGGGAAAGTAATAATAGCTATTTTTTCCTTCAAGCAAAGTTTGCAAGTTTTTGATTCGTTGTTGTAGGCTGATGATCTTTTCCTTATTTTCCAAGATATTTTTGGTGTGATGTGCGTTTTATTTTTAATTTCCCAGATATACTTAGAAAGCATTGTGCTGTTCACATATTTAATATTGTGAAAGATGTTTTGTGTGTATTATTTCTTTGTTTCCAGTGTCCTTCAGTTGCTCCTATGTATACTTTTACTTCGTTGTTTGGTGATTTTATCGTGGCTTGGTATATTACGTTGTTTTGTAAACAATTACCGTTTAAGGGACATTCGTTCTTTATTCTGCAGTTGCACGTGGGTTTACTTTGTTCGTGTGGTTTGTTGATAATTTTCCTGTTGTGCTTTTTTATTATTTGTGCCATGTTCTCGGTGCAACTGTAGCTGATTTTTACTGTGTTTTTGTTGAATAATTTGTGTAGGGTGCTTGATTCCGGGAAGTGTTTATGTAAGAGTTTGAAGAATATTTTTCCTACGTTTGTTTTTACGTTTTTGCTGTACGGTGGGTTGAACTATATGATATTTCTTTTCCTGTTGGCCGTTTTTGTGTTCTGTGGTGAGTATGTGAGTGTTGCTGGGAATCCGCTATCTTTTAGGGCTGTTTCGTAGTCTTTCTTAGCTTTGTTAAATATGGATTCATTGGAGGAATTGTCGGAAAGTCTGCGGTTAATCGATTTTGGTATCTGTTTGATTATAGAGGGCGGGTGGTTGGAAGATGTTTGTATATAGAGTGTTTTATCATTGGGTTTTCTGTGTGCCTATATGTGCCTTTTCTTAGGTTGAATGTGACATCTAGAAAATCTACTTCATTTAGGTTAGTTTTTATATCTATGTCGAATCCGTTATTTTTAAAAATCTTTATTATTACTTTTCTAGTTTAGTCTGTGTTTTGTTTGTTACAGTTTCTTAAGATTGTGAGACCGTCGTTCCTGTAGAGTCCTGTGTCATTTCTTTCTATTATTTTGCTTAGTTCGTGTAGTAAGTAAATACCAATGATTTCGCATTTCTCTGCACCGTCAAAGCTTCCCATTGTAGTGCCAAATATCCATGCTTCCTCTATGTGAAATAGTAATGATTTACGAGAGTACTTAATGATGTCGATTTCGCTTCGTTTTAGTATTATTTGTTCCTGAATTGTTTATTTTAGTTGATGGCCCTATCTAACATGCGTTCTGTTATGGATGGGTAAAATTCTTTTATGTCTAATTGTAGGAATTGGCAATTTTGTTTGTTTGTGAAACTGTAGAACCAGTCAATAGTTGCTTTTGTGTTTTTCCACTGGTTTACTCCTAACTTCTTCCTAAGTTCAGAAATAATTCTTTCTAGTATCGTTTTACTTATTTTACCTTGTTCACTTTTGGGTGGGTTTATGAGTCTACATGCAGGGTTGGTTTTGAAAATTTCTTCATGGTCTTTTAGTGTGATAAAGGCTTGCGCCTTGCTGATACAACTTATTCGGTCATCTAGGTCTAATTTTGGGGGCGATTGCTTTAGCTTCCTTATTGATATCATGTTCTATTGTTTTGGATGCCTTTTTATATATTTTGGTTATGTTGTTCTTGAGTAATTTATTGTGTGTAGGAGGGCTTAGTTTGTATAAATTTCTTGTTTTGTCAGCTGCGATAAATACATTTGCTGAATTGTTTATTTTAGTTATATTTTCTTTTAGTCTTTTTTCTTGTTTTTTATGGAATTTTATGTTTCTAACTAGGTCACTTAAGTCTTTCTCGAAGTTGTTTAGTTCTTTTTGTTGCGGGGGGCATTTTTTGTTTTGAAGCCGTATTTTTCTTTGAGTGTATTGTTATTGTGAAGTTCCTGGTTTAAAAAGTGGACTTTCCATCTCATTCTTTTTAGGAAACTATGTCCATATTGTGTTATAAATGTAGCGAAAGTGCTCTACTGTTTATCAGGAGCTGAATATGAAGAAATATAGCCTTAAGATGTGCTATATTTATGGAATAAAGTGCTCAGTATCAGAGATAGAGCGTGTGTAAATATAAAAGTGAACATAGAAGTCAACACTTAGTCTGTATCATTCTAGATGCAATCGTCAGGCTGCTATTTTTCTCAGCTATTTATATATACGGGTCAGTGGTGCATTGTGGGTAGTCTATTTTGGCGGTTATTTTACCGGAAGTCGTTTATTTATTTATTCGTTTATTTATCATCATCTTTTTCACGTTATTGATTAAATGGCCAGAGATTTTTAAAATTATAAACCATGTATCACATTTCTTTTCTATCAATTTGATAGAATAAGTTGAATGCCATTCATTTTGAAGATTTGATATCTAACTAATTGCTGTTGACCACGTTAAAATAGAACATTTCCAGAATTGAAAGACTATGAGAAAGAAAAAGTTTCTTTACTATTGAGTCAAAATTTAAATACATTCTAGATGTGAAATGCCCCTAGAAACACATATTTGTGCTTATGACCGATTTCTTGAAAGTGCCAGTGTTTTTTTGCTAGATAGAGAAATAGTAATAAAATTATAAAAAGATGAAAACTTTGCCGCAGTAGATATCTTTTATTTTATAAATAGTTTTAACATATTTCTTCTGTTTTCAGAAACAGCCATGGGGAAACATCTAAATACACAGAATGACAACAGTTCTCAATATGTAAAAGCTTTACATCAGTAAGTTCCAGTCATAAAATTTAATAAAAATCAACATGAAAAATATAGAAGAATATTTAAATATTTACATAAATTTATATTACAAACCTAATGATTAAAATTGTTTTATACCCTTAAAAATTATTTAATAATTATGGGATATTTTTTTTGAAAATTAAATCATAGACTGTTACTTCCATACGCCATAAATTATCATAGATGTTTTGACTGATTTTCGAAAATGTTTTTCTTATAAAGTTAAAATATAAGTAAAACTAGCACAAACGTGACGATCTTATTTTTTATTTTCCTTTAATAATTCTCTCCTATCTCAACCAATTATAATAATAAGTTTTAATAGATTATCTCTGTATTTGAAAACACATTCTTAAATGCAGCGACACCAATCAAATCAATCAATATATATATATATATTTTCGAATTTACTATTTCAGTGTTTGTGAAATCCTAGTGCAGCGCCAAAAATCTCCATGGGTGTGGCCGAATTTATTCTTCTACCTTTTCGGAGATGGCCGTAAATTCGACAAGTGCCTTAAAATCCTTCACGGCTTTACAAAAGATGTAAGTGATGAACAGATATATTAGAGAAGTTCTTTTTGAGAGTCTTAATTGGGCAACCCCGGGTTACATACCTTATCTTTTTAATCATTTCATTCCAAGCAAGGCGATAATGCCACTAAGACGCAGGGGAATTCCTGGAAGGTAAAGAGAATGAGGTATCGGAAACCCAATCCTAAACAGGAAACAAAGGATAAAGTAAGTGTTGAATATTAGTCACATTTCCAAAAATATTCGCACAACGTAAAATCAGATGACAGTTTTATATATATCAGATGACAGTTTTATATATATCAGATGACATATATCAGATGACAGTTTTATATATATCAGATGACATATATCAGATGACAGTTTTATATATATCAGATGACAGTTTTATATATATCAGATGACATATATCAGATGACAGTTTTATATATATCAGATGACATATATCAGATGACAGTTTTATATATATCAGATGACATATATCAGATGACAGTTTTATATATATCAGATGACATATATCAGATGACAGTTTTATATATATCGGAAAAAACGTGTTGAAAAATTGACTTCTTGCAATCAAGAACATTTAAAGGACATTCGGGAACAAGCGGCAGTTAGTCCGAAATGAAAAGGTTAACAACATACAATGTAAACAATACTGCGAAGACAACGCTTGAAGTTCATAGTAATCAGAATGACAAAGTTTATTTTAATAATAATCACGAAAGATAATTATATATGAAAAAATTGCACTAATAATGGTTTTTTATAATATTATGGGAATTTTCCAGTCATTTAACATGAAATATATGAAAAATGTAATTTTTGTACCTACATTACAAACATTTACAAGCGGCAGAAAAATAAAAAGGAAATGAAAAGTATTACACAGTTATTTTCATCTTATTCTTAGCTGTTATAATTTTAATAACAGTTTCAAACGACCTATAAGGGTTTTAAAAACGGGTTATAAACTTGATTTCACCCTTTAAAATTTTCGAAACACTCTGTCGGGGATATGGAAATATACTTTATACTTGCAACAAATGCATTTTTCTTCTAACAAATGCATTTGCTCTGCCTTTTGTTGCAATTCAGTTGTTATGACAACGTCCGGACTCTCCCTGGAGTTGGAGGAGGAAGGGGTGATGACGTTGCTCTCATTCTGCCTATTAGGCAAGCTTCTCAAGCATCCTACTGAAAACTGTCGAACTTTCTGGAATTCTCTCAGCCAATCTCTGTCACACAAAATTTGTCACTTGTATATATTATTTTTTAATTTTAAAATAATATACAGTGCGACCATAAAATAAATGTACATACATAACTGCCACAAATGTTTGTTTTTATTATTTAAATTTTAATTTCCAACATATATTTACTTTGTAAATGAAATTTTCGCTTTTGTAAAAGATGTACACAAAATCAGGATCCAATTTTGCTTCATACGTACATTATAACTCAAACTTGATACACTTTCACTCTAATACATAATCTTTTAGAAGTATAAAAGTTTTCTTAAATAAATGAATGTCACATTCTAGGAAAACAGAACAAACTACATGTAAAAATATAGATTTTTCGTTTAACTGAATATTAAATAAAATAACTTATAAACGATATTTATAGTTTTATTTTGTTTTTATTCACGTACTTTAATCTGTGATTTAACTATAAAGCCATCAAAATCGCTTATTTATCCAGAAAAATAAATATCAGATTTAAAATGAATAATAAAGCTATTTTAAAAATGTGGTTTTTCACTGTGGTTCAGCGAATTAGATATTGTCATAAAGTAAGAACCTCTCAACTGGGCAAGATGTTGGTTGATGCAAATAATAAAACCACATTTATTTGACATCACATTTTTACATAATACTTGAACTCACACATACCGGGTGGAACAGCAAAATTGTCCAATTGTTAGATTAAGCATTGAACAGTTGTATCTTAGAAATGATTAAAGATATCTTACTGGAATTCTCTGACGTATTTATAACACTACTGGAATGTACTTTGAGCAATAAGAATGTATTTTGCTCTAAGTTGAAATGATGATCCCACTTCCTGTTTTGACCTCCTGATCCAGTTTTTATCTCTACTGTTCCATCTTTTTTCAAAACTTATTCACCATTCTCTTGATGATTCTTGAATGATCTTCGAATATGGAAGCCAGAGTATGAATATTAGTACCATTACTGAAGGCCTGAATGATGTTTTTCATCTCACCATTGCCCAGTTGGGAAGATATAGTGGGGCTGACATAAAACGATTTTAACCAATTCTCTTTCTAGCTGAATAACTCAAAGGGTTTTTCAGTGATTCATACGACAAATGATGCCAAGATGGCTAACCCTCTTATCTGAACCCCCCCCCCCAAAAAAAAAGAAAATCAATTAGGTTAGTACTTTTTAGATATTAAACATTTTGTGGTACGGACAATTATCCTATGCTGTTACACGATTTGAACAATATTGTTGTTACACCAGGTATATACTGACAGAAATATTTTTTATAATTTTATATATTTAATTTCCTGTTTGAAGCGGAGTGACACGTATATGCACGCACACAAAAACTTTGATCTTTCAATGTATACAATTCTAGGACGTTATGTTTTCCTTTCTTTACGATTAATTTGTTTATTTGAATAAAATCCCTCTTCCATTTTTTTTAGTTGTTGTGGTATATATTTCACAACAAATGATAAATAATGACTGATTCTGTCACTTATAAGAGATACAGTTTATTATTAAGCAATCATATTTGAAAAACATTTGATTAAACTCAAGCAGAAAACAAATTATAATTGTTATTTATTTCTCTCATTATTTGTTTCATTCCTTTAGGTTATAGAAAACCGCCAAAAAGAATATAATGAAAACGAGGCAAAACTGATGGAAGCAGAAGCAGACGATGCCGATGAATCAAATGTTTATATCAAGAAAAAAAGACGCGCATTTTTGGATTTGTTGCTTTACAACTGGCATCGAGGTGAATTGACGACAGAAGATATCCAAGAGGAAGTTGATACATTCATGTTTGCGGTAAAATTCAGAGATTTTATCAATTTTCCGTGTTCTTATGTATTTATATTTGATTAAATTTGAATTAAGAATTTTATTAATTGTAAATTATGTTAGTCTAAATCTAAAAAAATGATTATCCAAGTAATCAATAGGCATTAATACAGAAAACTAATTCCTTATAAAATTCGTTGCACTATTCAATATGACGGGGGGAGGGGGGAATATTTTTCTCAACTCATTTGCATTTTGATATAGTGAATATATATATATATTTTTTTAAATAATGAAAACTATTGACGTTCGAAACGCAAAATGAAATTCTCCTTACTTTTTCTTTAGTGAAGATTATAATGAGAAAATACAGTTAATGTTCAATGAGAAATTGTTGCCTAATTTGAATTCAACGTTTTGTCTTTTATTTAAACGCAGGGACATGATACAACATCAGTTAGCATGATGTGGGGATTGTACATGATTGTTTCACACCCTGAAGTCTACAGAAAAGTTAACCAGGAAATCGATGATGTCTTTGGTAAACAATTTTCTTTTGATGAATCAGAAAATTTGATTTTTAAATATTCTTTATCAACTAATATTTCTTTCTGATAAGCACTAATCAGTAATTGTGTAGATTCTTAAACTAAGGAATTTTGAAACGATATTATAAATTAAAAAGATAATTCAATTAAACTCTTCTACTATTCTAATTCGACTCTTGTGTTTTCTACAATTTTTTATTTGTATACTTATAAGTTTTTAAATCATACGCGTCGGAAAGACAACATCAGAAGTAATCGAATATGTCAAGTTTTAGTCAACATTAGGTATGTCTATTTTTATTTCTGCGTCTACCCAAATTCCAACCAATGGAACCAAATATAAAGTCGATGTAACCATCAATATTCGTTTATAATGCATTTGAAATGTTTTCATCTCTCAAGTCGTTAATAGTTTGTTTAATCTTGTTACTCATTCACCAATCACAAAACTACGAAAATGTTAGGCGCACATAGATTTCTAATCTTGTCTGTTATTCAAACGATTTTTTTTTATATTTGTAAAACAACAAACGCCGTAAAGACTGGTAGAATTACTATGATGTTTTATTTGTCAGCCTGAAGATTTATTTGTTTTTATGGAAAATGAAAACCGTTTTTAATGACATGCTCCCAAAGAGAATTGATTTCCAGTTGCCTTCTGCATGGTTCTGAATCCTTCTTCTAGACCAGTTGTTATCCAAGGCTCGAGAGCACGATCTATCCTGCTATTTAAACCATAGCTGGGAGTAGAAGAAATGGATTTTGTCAAAGGCATTTGTTCAAATGTAAATGCATCAGACTAGGCCAGAAATTGAACTTGGCTCGCTGAGTTCATTTACTGCACGTATTGATGATACTTCAGTCACGCGTAAAAAATATTTATATCTTCTTAATTATATTTGTGCGCAGTCTAATCTAATAGACTGGCCTGAGAATTTGGAATTCGAACAGCCGATTCTTCTCTTTGCGCCGATAGCCTTAACACTACCTGCCCATCTGTAATAAGAATAATATTCGAAGTTTATTTTACAGGGCTTTGTTTGATTGATTAAACTCTTCAATAAAATAAACATATTTAGACAATTAAAAACAATTTTTTCAAGGTGATTCCGACAGACTAACCACGCCGGAAGATCTGAAGAAATTGGATTACTTAGACATGGCTTTGAAGGTAAGATCATTTGTTTTTGGTATATTATTGAAGAAGAATATTTCAGTGGAATCAGTAAACCCAAATTTATACTAAATAAAATATATATGCCTTGCAATGGGTGATATCGATCAAAAAAAAAAAAAAAAAAAAAAAAAAAGAAGCTTGGCAAACGGGATCTGCGTGAAATTATTGAAAGGGACATTTATCAGTTTTTAAGCATTTGTCTTGCTTTTCTTCTTAGATTAGCTTTATGACGAGTATATAAATAAAATAGTTTGGATCGAAATCGAGAACACCCTTCAAAATTTTGATCGAGGGAATTTACTTGCTTAGGTTTGTGTGTTGCTGTTTTCTGACTGCTTCTTTCATGGGTACAAACAGACGAAAGATTAGGATTGTCCATTTGATGACAAAATGTTACCAAGTTATGCGATGTGATTGCTTGTCCGATCTTTAAGATACTGTGAAACACAATGGTCATCCCGTTACCTGTGAGACGAGATGCCTTAAATTTCTGAAACAAGCAGCGAGCCGCCACTCCATTGTTCTTTTTTTATAGCTCATTGTGGTGAACTCCTATTTCAGTTCCCGTAACTATCCTGCATAGAGTAAAAGTAATACCACAAAGTTTCTCCACCTAAGTCAATCAGCGTTGTGATAAACTAATTTTGTGATAAACTTTATGCAGATAAGTGACTGCGCCAAACGAGGAAATTTCGCTACACATCCCATCTTTGAATTTCAGCAACCAAATGCATATGTATGTAGACAACAGCACACATATACGTACATATGTTAAGTCCCATACTGTCTACATATGTTTATGTTTGTATGAACCCCGGCGGGCGAGCGGGTGTGTATGTGTGTCTGCGTACCTCAATGGGTGTACGGACATGCCTCTATGTTTGCGATGGCATGAGTGACATCCCGACGACGATTCCCCCCCCCACCAAACACCAATACACACAATCTTTTTTTAAAAAAAATTAATCAGTTTGTCTGATGATCGCAAAAGCGTGAAACCCAGGGTCACAGACTCACATCAATCCAACCAAATATATATATATATATATATATATATATATATATATAATGTTTTTGAATTAGAACAGGGAAACATTCTGTATGTGCCTTTTTCCATTCCTTTTTCTAGGAGAGTATGAGAATTCATACGTCAGTGCCAATGATTGGAAGAACAACAACGGAGGATCTTGAAATCGGTAATAAAATATCAAATTTTTCATTGCGAATTTTAAAATAATCCAATCGAGATTGTTCCTTTCAAATTTATCTAAAGTTTTCCTTACAGATTATCACATCACGGGAAGCTGATAAGAAATAAAAAATACTTTGTTGTATCAATAATAATATTAGCATCACTCATGTATGCGAATAAAACATAAAAATGGTAGTACTAGACGGAGAGAAAGCAATATTATTCTCTTTTAAGATCGTTGGCTTTCCCAGAGAAGTTTTGATAAAATGAATATCTATAGGGAAAAAAGGGATATAATTTTGTGATTTACTGACAACTTATTACATATCTTTTATTCAAATTATTTACAACAGGTCATGAAATTATAAGAAAAGGGTTTCGATAAAAAGCGACTGAAATTAAGATAAAAAGTTACTAATCACAAAATCAATAAAAAACCCTTTATCTGAGTGCTGATGAATTTATTTGTAAGAACAAATCTTAAAAAATTGTTGTTTTAATAAGTTCGCTTATGTTTGTTTTGGCCTTTTAGCTTTGGTAGGTGAGCAGTTTCAGTCAGTTTTGCCTAAATGTGTATCACTGATACACGCTTAGGCATAACTGACGGGACAGCTTTTTTTTTTGCCAGTGGTAAGTTGCCATTTCTTTCTGCGATAGACCAGTTGCCATCCAAGGTTATAGAACCCGGTCTGTCCTGCTATTTACCCATAGCTGGGGGGAGAAGAAGAAGATTCATACCTTTCCCAAGTGTATTAGCACGTAAGTGAATGTAGTGGATTCGACTGGAATTCGAACTCGGCTCTCCGATTCCTCAATTCGAGCTGCTATCCATACCTCCACCTTTTGAATTAAATCGCAGTACTAGATTGCTGGCAAGGGCTTATCATTTTACAGTTGAAATTAATTGATGCAACCGTAAGTTCTATGCTAACAGTTTCTCATTTCTCGCTCTTTGATCTTCAAAAATTGAAATGAATATCAATTGTTATCATCTTAATTACTGTTCTTTTAATTCTCTCCCCCCCTCTCTCTATTGTGGATTCCGTGAATAGAATCCTGCACAAATAAATAAACAACACTAGTAATTGAGATAGAAAAATAAGTGTATTAAACGTAAGAATACAGACTTGAAGTGAAGATTAGTAGTCCAGGAATGCGGGTTAGTAGAAAGTATATGTACAAGTTTCTGTAAGTAAAGCCGTAATCATCTCTCTCTCTCTGGACTCTTGTATAACTCTCTGAGAATACTCTGTGTCTATTTCCGTATCTCTAAACCTGTCTCAATGTATCTCCACGTATCTCAACTTATCTCCACGTATCTCAACAGCAGGTATTCTCTGTCAGTATAAGTATACTTTGGACGAGTCCATCTTATGTAAAAAGGGGAGAGACCCACAACACTCTCTCTCTCTCTTATTAGTTTTAATTATATTCTCTCAAATCAGTACCGCCACTTGCGTCTTAGTGGCTATATTGCCTTGCTTAAACAAGCAAGGCAATATAGCCACTAAGACGATTAAAAAAGGATTAAAAATGTTTTTGGAAAAACAAATATACATTCTTATGATCCGAGAATGGATCATAAGAATGTATATTTGTTTTTCCATCTAATTTTGAAAAGAAACTATCAAATTCCAAACAGTCTGTATGTTTATTTACTACACATTTATTGAAGTAGAAACAAAGAATGATTTTAATCCAATTATATGCATATTTTTGAAAATATAACTTTCTATTATAGATGATTACAAAATTCCTGCAAACACCTGGGTTACTTTGTTTATTGGTGGTCTACACAGAGACCCACATTATTTTCCGGACCCATTGGTTTACAACCCTGATCGATTCCTACCTGAAAATATAAAAGAAAGACATCCCTATGCATTCATTCCTTTCTCTGCTGGTCGGCGGAATTGCATCGGTAAGTAAACGTATTTTCATTTTATATTAGCGCTTATTTATTGAAAATATGTGATATTATGTAAAGTATTACACAATTTATTACATACTTTTTGTGAAAGGAAAAAAATGTCATTTGTTTAAGGGCAATAGAAACACTGACCATGAAAATATCTTCTGATGCTATTTTCAACAATATTATCCTGAACGAAATGTAAATTTTATGGAGATGTAAAGGAAATTTTAAAATAAAATTTCGCTTGAAATCTTGAAAGATATTTATATATCTTGACAATTCCTTCTATTTTATAAAATTGATTTTGTTGGTGAAAGCGCTCACTATATTATTTATGAAATCTGTAATAATTGGAAATTCTATAGGCTAATTTTATTCTTAAAAAATAATATTTCAGGTCAGAAGTTTGCAACAGCCGAAGAGAAGACTTTATTGTCTTGGATATTTCGAAAATTTTGGGTTGAGACAACACAGACAGAAGCAGACATTCATCCAGAGAATGGTCTTGTGTTGAGACCAAAGTATGGCATCAAAGTGAAATTAACAAAAAAACAAAGCTAAACAACAAACAGAAACAGATTGAGTTGAAATTATTTGAAATTAATTTTTATAATAAAAATTCAGTGTTGAACAAATTTATATGAATAATAATTTCTTATATATTTTTTATTCACTTGTACTCATATCCAACATTATTCACACATACACACACACATATATAAATATATATTATATACATATTAAAAATATAAAAAATTATTATTATTATTTTTTATTATTTTTAAAAATATGTACGCTTATATCTATCTCCTCTCTCTCTCTCTCTCTCTCTCTCTATATATATATATATATATATATATATATATATATATATATATATATATATATATATAGATAAATAGATAGATAGACACGTAAATTTCTTCTACTAATCTTGGGCTTTATAGTTCTAATCATTGTATCACAAATTAACATCCAGACACCGTCAAATGTCATCGCAGACCTAACCTAGCTGTCAGCATATCAATATATTGAACAAATATTCAAATTTACATTTATTAGTTTTGCAGCACATTACGAAAATCCGAAAGCAACTCTGGCGCTAGGTTTTTAAAAAGGTTTGAAAACTTTTTTTTGAAAATTTATCATTTAACACACACACGCACGCACACACACACACACACACACACACACACACACACACACATATATATATATAATTCTCTTTCGAAGCGAGAGCAAGATCTAAAAGGTCATCTAATCTAACAGTGATCTCATCTCACAATCCTCACTCTTGTTTCATATGTGGCATCCTTTGAAATCACTAGCGTGTCTTAAATGCCACTTAAGATTATCGCACCAACTTTCATAACTGAATCAACTAAGCTGTCAGATCCTCATACGTCGAAACCGACGGGAGAGTCCATTATTATTATATATAATTCACTTTCTAAAAATTTATTGACGAATTAAGAAAAACACAATAATATTGAAGGTTTTATTAATTATTTAGTGAAACTCGTTCTTGAAATTCCAAATTCACCTTCATAAATTTTTAATTTTATTCCCGGGTGAATATTTGAAGTGCAGACGTCAAAATTATGAAGCAAATATCCTTGTGATGAATTTTGAACAGACGATGCAGTTTCTTTTCTTTTTTGATTGATGCACAATTAAATATTTTTTTAAATCATGTCAAGGCGATAATGCCATTAATACGCAAGTGGTTTCTGGAAGTGAAGAGAATGAGTCTATAGCACTTTTCAAACATCTCATATCCTGAAATCAATTCTTTCCACGTTAGATAATTTGCGCATTACCATTTTGTTGATTTCTGTCAAATTATCGGGAGTTAGGAGATAATTTCCTGCTAGTTGTGCACGATGAAATGCATAAGTAACTAACTACAAGACGTAAAGTTTGAAAGAATGTATAGTACATTATTAATCTTTGTTGTCATATTTATCATAACGTTTCGGCTATTGTACGATCCGGCCTCCTGTCGAAATGAACCCTTTATTTCGCTCGCTGGGGTAGACTGTTCTAGTTTCACATGCCATGTCTAATGGATGTCAGTTATCAGTTCTCCACTGCCTTAACCAGGTATTGAACTCACAACTCTTTGGGCCCTGTCACTGGATCTAACCCACGCCTTTATCCTCTGTGATATGTGACCTTAAGGACCAAGCATAGAAATGAATACAATATGGGAACCAGTAATAAGGAGTGCCAGAGAAAAAAGCAATAATATCAACAAAAACTGCAATATGAGCTCTGGTAAAAAATATGAAATGATAACAGCAAAAATTGCAATATGAGCACTGGTAATATATATATATATATATATATATATATATATATATATATATGTGTGTGTGTGTGTGTGTGTGTAATTTGCAAAGTTTGTTTACAATACATTGATATTTTAATAATATAGAGATTTACATTTGTGTGGCGTTCGTTCCTTCTTCCACAAATCTCTATTAAAAGAAGAATGTGTATTTTTGGTAGATAACCGTAACTGCCAGGAATTTGTTGTCGGGGTTTATTTGTACTTTTGACATTTTTCTTTAACCTACAATCGTTATCGTATCGTTAGAGAATTTTCGCAAAACCGTTTCGTATATAACATAAATGGGACTGAGAGCTGGAAAATTAATTTCCAGCCCACCGTGTACGAGGCAACGTAAATAGTAGGCACAAACTGAAATGTTAATGTCCTGTGTGTTATGTCGCTATTTATTGAAAATAGAAACGAGGGACTGGATAATATCACACTTAGACTGAGTGTGCTGCAACATTCTAATACTCAATATTCAACTTCTACTGAATGTTTACCTCCCGAATCCTAGTAGTGTTTAAATTTTATTTTCTGGAAATAGTAGCTGAATTAAAATGCTTAAAAATTTATCGTTTAAGTAATAATTATCGAATTGTCGAATTATCAACTTATTTCTACTTAAGATTTTCATTATCCGTTTTCCCAAATTTGTTTTCTGAGCAGCTGATGTGACTTCGAGCTAAAATTATTTCCAGTAAAGAAATTATCGTTCTGACATTTTCTGGTTGATTTTGAAGAAGGTTGTGTATTTTTTACAATGATGCTCACACTTTACCAGGCCCAAGAGCCATTCGAGGGTTACAGAGTAAAAGGAACAGTTTATTGGGATATGTGGGGAAGATAGCGGTTGGCTTTAGAACATTGTAGTGACTTAGAAAGCATCATCTTTTGAGTCGGTCCCACAAAATAGTGATTCGTGGGAAGAAGCTTTTTGAGTGGAAGTTACATCTCATCAATAGAATACGAAGAGAATAAAGGTGGTAGTATAGCGGGTCTTATCCGTGAAGGTTATAAATAGTGGAACTAAGGAATATAGTTTCACCAGTGGGAAGTATTCAGACGAACTAAGGAATGTAATTCGTCTTAATACTTTCCATAGAAATAGCGATAGAGCAGCCAAAGGATTGTGACGTTTCATATGTGAAAAACTGATTGCAAGGTTAATATAATTCATCATCCACAAGGACGCGGAGATGCTTTCTGACTCTATCGAGACTGAAAAATAAAAACTGGGAAGCTCCTTCCCATATATGGTAGTAGTACTCCATTTTCGGCACAATCTAGCTTTTGTCAGGGTAGAGGATAGCAGGAGGAGTCAGCTGGAGCGATACAGGGAACCGACCATCTTTTTCAGGATCTTTAGTGATGGATTGTACTTACGATTCTACTTGAAGTGTGGGTTGAGTTTTAGTCCCAATAGACGCTCAAGGCACGGAGCCTTACTGGGGAAACAGCCGTTTATCGTGTTCGGTGAAAGTTCTGGGCTCGCTCGGTGATGATGGAACGTCTTTAGTTTGGTTTTCGAGTCATTGAAACAAGCCAGGTTTCCCTCACTGAGCTGTTAGAGCTCGGTGAGAGGAGAGATCAGCTGACAAGCTCTGTTCATCTCGAGTGTTGGAAGTACACCCAGCAGATCATTTATGTAAAATAGAATGATAGTTAGACCGAGGAGTGAACTTTGAGGGATACCTGCGTTGATCGCTCAGGCTGCCAATGATTGGCAGTTAACTAATACCTTTAGAGACCTACCCGTTAGGAAGGACTTTATAATTGAGAAAACTCTTCCAATGATTCCATAGAGTGTTTGTGCAGTGATCCTTTATGCCACTCAAAGGCCTTTGAAATATCTAATGCGATCGTCCTTGATATATATTTGTTGTCCAGTGCTTCACTAATTCTGTGAGTAATGCCAGTTATTGTATCAGCAGTGGACCGAGTCGATCGAAACCCGTGCTGTTTTTCGCTTAAGAGAGGTTGTCCCAATTGAGGTGATCAATAACCTCCTTGTTGATTATAGCTTCAAAAAATTTGCTAATGACAAATTTAGGATCAATCATTATCTATCCACATCCTTATAATCTTCACTTCGTATTTCCTATATATGTTTATATCATGCACCTCATTCAGTAACCCTCTACCACTACTCTAAGAGGATGATGGGTCTATATTGTGATGGGGATGAGCATTCACCAGCATTCTTGAAAACACATAACACCTTCGGCAAACTTGGGAAAGATTTCTTCTTCAAGCAGCGGTTAAATAATTTCGCTAAGATTGGGCATAACGCCGGGTTAATATTTTTAAGAACAACTACTTGTACAGGACCAGAAACCTTTTTACGGTCAAAACCTTTGATAAGTAAAATATTAATGAGATTTTCGTCAGTGAGACGGGGGAATGGGGAACATCGAGTTAGAGGCAAAGATCGTGTCGAAGAACATTGCCCCATTTGACAAAGATCTCTTCTGAATTAACCAAGTGACGTACATTAATTTCATGGGAAATGCAACTGCACGCTTAATATAAGTGGTTTGTAAATTTGTCGCCTCAACGGTATAACGTAACACCATTTTGGGGATGAATCTGCCCTTGCTATTGTTAAGGATGCGCCATTTTGCTTACACAACAATCTTGAATTTTACGTTCATTGCCCGTCAGAAAGTGAAATATTTTCACTCCGTCTAAGTCGCGGATCTTTTAAACTTTTAAGTAGTTTGACAAGAAACTTATTATCGCCAGATTTTTCTATAAGAAATAATATTTAATAAAATAAGAATTAACTGAATATTTTTCTTATTGGCTCAACAATAACCTAAACTCGGAACAATGTGAACTTTTAATTCTTGTTCGAATTTTCACATGACTGAAGATTGCCACAACAACTTCTGTACCCAATAAACTGTGTTACATAACACGAACAACCATCTGAATTTTGCGGGAATTAAAGTTTATTAATGATTTAGGCTAAAAATTCATATTTAAAATAGAAACAAGAAAATAATTTATTTAATATATATTTCCATTTAATATATAGACATTGAAACATTTTCGTATCAGATTCACTTGTAAAATTATGTAAAATCATTTTGACTTTCTTGAGAACAAGGAGTATTATTTACCAAATAACACATCTTCCGATCTCGGCTGCTCTATTCCTAATTTGCATATTAAAAAGAAAGG